ACTGCTACATTTTCCTACCTACCTACATGTACCTGTAGTACGTACCCTAATAGAGACTAAAGTATAAACTAACAATTATTATTTTGGGAAATAAATCACTGCATCTTAAAGAAAACTCAAATTTTACGATTAACTTTTTCAGTGAAAACTGTGTTGATCTCCCAAAGAGAGAAAGCTCGCAAATGTAGGAGTTACAAGTTTATATAGCATTGCATGTATATATGTGTATATGTCACCGCCTACACAAATATCAAGCGGAATATCATAAATATATTGTCATCCTGGTAAAATACTAGCAGCTTCCTACTAACTCAGTTAGGGAGAATTTCTCTTTAGCTCATTCAGTAGAGCGTAAGACTAGTAAGCCAGAGGTCCTAGGTTCGACTCCTGGTGGAGGTATTGAAAAAATAGCGGCCTCTGTTACATTGGCACCCACCTAGGGACCCGGTAGATAAGACAAAATACTAGCGATACTTGCAATGGAATCGCTATGACCCCTGGAAAACTAGGGATAAGTTCTTTCCTTGAGAGGGAATAATAACAAACTTTATTTATTGAGGATTAAAAACCTGATTTAGCCAAAGGCTAATATCCCTCAGGGTCCAGGTACTGTAAACCCCATATCCTATGTTTACAGTAGGTCCATGATTACTGGGTTTTTTTATCTTCGGTGATTTATTTGAACAAATTTGATAGCCTTTCACTCCTGCACACCACAGGCAGATATGATGCTAGAATGTAGTAATATGTTCACCGACTTGGCTGTGCCCTTGGTCAGATTAAAACTTCACTTGTATATCAGGGTGCGCCTATAGCTATTTCAGGACCTCATGAGCAACTGCCATTCAGTTTTTGTAGCCCTTAACCCTTTCACCACTGTAGACACTGTAGGAATCATCCAGATCAATGAAAGGGTTAACAACAGAAATTAATTAAATCTTCAGTTTTTTATTTAGTGGTTGATAAATGTCACAATTTCTTAGTGGAGATGTGCTGCTGACATTAAATACAAATATAACCTTTATTTAATTTACAACAATTATGATATATAAGTTATTTCAACTTGTACTAGTCACCCTCGTTGGCCTTGATGTTAGCGTGCAGGGGGTCTTAATGTGGGAGGAAACTGGAGTACCTGGAGAAAACCCATGTAGTTGGGAATTCAAAGGTGACCCATACCTTTTCACGTCCCATCAGGGAATCAAATCCCCGGTTGCTTTGGTGAAAGATGAGTACGTTATCCACCACCACCTAACCAACCTATAATAATGCTGGCATCAATTTTGACATTAATTGTTAACAATATCAAGTCTGGTGCCATCTGCCAACAACATAACAGCAGTAAGAGGGGCTTTCACTCACTGAATAATCTCTATAAAATTTATGAATGAAACTTTAGCAGGAAAGAGAGAAGTGTGCTTCCACTGGGGATCAAACCTGTGACACCAAGCTTTCCAGTCTGCCGTTCAACTCATTAAGCTAAAAGGAAATTCCCCCTTAGTTTGAAGCTAGAAGGCAACCATATTCCTATGTACAATTAAAATCTGCCACATTACTCCCCACCTTTTTTAATGTATTTGCCAAATAATAAATGTTGTTTACTTCAGGTAACCCTGCCTACTCAAATATTTTGTGCCTATCTAGATTTATTTTTTAGCAATTTTCAAGGACACACTGTTAAAACCAAGATTAACAGAAGTTATTACCTACCTAAGTACCTACCTTATTTTTTCAGACATGTAACAGGAAACAAACAGTTCTTTTTGTTTTGACTGAACATATGTTTCATTTGCAATGGGATTTTACAGTACTCAGCGGGTATCAATTACAAGTATGTATTGTAAGTACTGTTAAGCCGTGTCATAAAAAGTAGAAAATAAGGCAATCTATATTTGCATAATCACATCTGTTCCCCTATAGAATAATACAGAGAATTGCAAGCACACAAGTGTTTCATCTCCATACAAACTTAACTTTGGTATCAAAAATCAATAACAAAGAGACATAACTATGTATAGTACTGTAGACCACAGGATCCAATTTCAGGATGCAACTCTTCGACATCCAGGGCGGTACTCGCATACGAAATTTGGCAACACAGTATACAAGATATGCTCAAGACAATGTGACGAACAGTGAACAAAAGGCCATAAATCTGAAATAAAGTTGAACACGATGCCAGATTTTCATATGAGACACTGCCCAAAGAAACTTTGGCAATTGTAGGATTAAAAGAGTATGATATATACCTCTGAAAAAGTGATGAAGAAATTGACAGAATGCAAACCTCACCTTAGGCATGTCAACCCCTACAGTGATGTCTTTGATCACAGACAATTACCCGAAAAGTGATGTAACAGGCATGTTACTGTAACGGGGTCAGCATAGTCAGGTACGGCTACCACTAATTATAAGTTACCAGTGCGAACCCATTCGCCAGGCCTCCCATCTTGCTACATTACTCTTGGAGTGATGTCACATGCTGCAGACATGTCACCCAGATTGACTGACAGGTAACCAGCCATATCCCAGAAGCCATGCAGTGTTTTTTCTACCACATTTTTACAACAGCCTATTATTCCCTACATGAATTGGGGAAAATAAGGTGCCTTTTTGCTATGGGAAGCAGCCTGAACTGTATTCAGATGCTAAACTAGGAACGAAAAATCCAGTGCCCTGTCACTGGCAAGTCAACTGAAGAGAAAAGTCAGTGATGATACAAGTAGGTCGCCTTTTAAAATTTTGTCACAAGAAAGTCAAACTCAGAGTTACATGTAATTGACCTGACCTCCAGATGGATGTCTCTGAAAGTTGTGATGTCAGTGGTAGGTCGGAGGGATCTCCCATTCAAGTCATTCTCAGAGTGAACCCACTGGTGTTTCATCCCCAGTAGTGACAGATCTAGAGTAACCTCGTAGTGACAGAATCAGTATTGCAAACTCAGACTGGTCACAACAGGTAATTCACCTCTCAAGTGATGACACAGGCAGCTGCAGACAACCCCAGAAATTAGAGATATTATGATACTGATAATGCCCTATTTATTCAGATGACTGTGGTATTATTAGCAGCATCATTGGAAGTGCAGGTTTGCAAAAATATATTTGGGGGGGGGGGGGGGGGGGGCATTGATAGTGCTACATATTTGATATTGGGGTATAAGGGGTGTGCATGGATATCAAAACATTAATTACCAACCTTTCAGTTAAGTAATATTGAATACTTTTTGGCACTATCTGAATCAAAAAATATTTGTACATCATTTTTTTAAAGATTTTTTTTCATACATATTACATGATGCATTTTACAAAATTTTAATTGTTCAAAATTTGAATATTTGAAATCCAATATAAACAATAATGACTGTACTGGGATAAAACTCTGAGTGTAATCACTGCCAGTCCTACACTTTACAGATATTGCTATAAAGGTATTAAAAATGCACAGCATTAAAATTTGAGATGAATTATTTGACAAGGGTAGTAATTAACTCTAAGCAAGAAAAAAAGTGCTTTTTTTATATCTTCTATGTATCTCGACTAATACATAGGTTATTATCTTTCAACTCCATAAAGAAATTTCACAGCAAAGCATTGTCCTTGTAATGAATATTATTTCAACTCTAAAAATTGAACTCACAGAATCTTCTATAAATGTTACGTACAAATTGAACATGTTACAAGCCACTTTTACAGATTCTTTTTCTATTTTTGAGGTGATAGGGCCTATCAGATTAGAAAGAATCAGTATGATACGCATTTTAAATTTTAAAAAAAACATTAAAGAAACAATAAATTATAGACAAATGGCAAAAATAATCCCAAAAACATACAGAGTAATATTAGTTATGCAGATAGTTACCTCCGAACAATGGCCCCCCCTCCTCCTCCCCCCTATTTACCTCTGTTTTTCCTGGATCATTTCCATTCTACGAGCTTAAAATTTACAATTACAGTTGTAAACTCATTTGATTTTTTATGTTATAAATGAAACTGGGTCATCATTATACTATTATCTCATTTTTGTTATTTAGTGTAATACAAAAGAATGAAAGAACACTTTTAAGATGTATGCATTACATAACATGATGACATTCCGGTCTTTAATTAGGTAAATCAGATTTTTTTCTTTTTCAAATAACAAACATCCATGTTATTGTTTTAAATTTGATTTGTTGATTGAATGAATTTAAAAGAAATTTTAATATATTCCATAATGTGATTAATGACAAAAATTCTTAACATAGGGATGAACATTCGTTTTGTTAAAATCAAAACAATTATATGGGATCTTTTTGCAATTGTGTTCACAATTTATTTTTATTTTATTATGTTACATTATATTCAAATTTCATAGACAATTATGTCTCAATGATTTCTTTCTTATTAGGACATAAAATTTGACAACAGCCTCTTTCTGGAATTGCCATATTTTGATTGGTCAATGAATCAACCAATGAGAGCCCTGACTCATCAATCCTAGTAAAGCAGGTCTTGATATGTTTGATATGTTACATGCCGTATAAACCCGTCTTTTTGTGTAAATATAAACAAGTCAAAACTGGCTGTATATCTGACTAATACTACTTAATAATCTGCCTCGCTGTTAATGCGTAATCTTCAAAGAACGATGTCACGTGTACTACACGTTAAATCAGCTCAAAACCTTCCTCACATACATGCGGTATATCAGCGGCCCACCTAGCTCTTCAGCCAGCGAAAATACACCACGCTGCTATAAAGAGTATTGATGTGCTGTCTGATTATCCCATGCAGCTGGCGAACAGAGTATGGACGCTACGAGCAGACGACGACGACTGTGCCCAGTGCGTTTACATGTAGCTAGCACGGCCCAGTACAACAGCGTAATGGCGATAGCGGCTCTCGCTGGTCGGTTATCCGTTACAATAGTTTTACCTGTTTCCAGTGGAATGAACACTTTTTATGTCAAAAAAATACCTGACAACAGCACACAACACTACCGGTGAAATGTTTCCTTACCTTAGACAGCAGATATATCGTCGTGGGACGGCAAACAGGGATGACATTCACGAGATCGTTCACGGCACTACATCGACCATGTGCTCATAGCGAACAAAGAAGCAACTCCGCGTCTTTCGCGGTTTATATATCCAGACCACAACCACGTGATCAAGTACTTCCCCACCGCGCGTTCTTAATGCGCAACATTTAGGCCAATTTCAGTCAACACTCCGAGTCCATGAAAGAGTGTTCACATATTTTGTGGAAGTTTTGAGCGGATTTATCGAAGAGAGTCAACGGATATGGATTTAGCAGCTATGCGACCTACATATGAAATAGGGCTACCTATGGACTGTATGACTAGTGGATTGAAACGACACACCAGTTGATGTGTGATTTTGTCGATGTTAGGACGTGACTTCTAGTTGGCGCTATTACAGAAGTTAGCTATGTAGTTTATATACACACGATATGAACTTCGGGCAGACGGCCGTGTCAAGGAATCAAAGATATCTATCAAAGTAATTCGTCCTTGTTTGATTTTACACGGAAGGTTTACATCACGAACCTGGTAAGTGATTATGTTTCCTTACGCTTTTGTAAATCCTGAATAAAATAAAGAGACATCTGCTTATTCGATTTTTTTTGTTAATATTACTTCCCAGTTGACAAGAGTGTTATGTATTAGAGTCTAGACTTCTATTATATAAAAATATCTCTTAATTAATTATTGTTCAACCGTAAATATATGTTCTATGGATTTTCTTCGATGCAATTCTGGTATTTAAGCAAAACAATGAAAGATTATCCAGACACTTTTGGTAGCATGGCTAATCCAAGCACCCCGGAATTAGCCAACGTATGCGTATAACAGGATGTTAAGCACAACTAGCTAAAGTCTACGTCTTAAAAGGATCTTTACATGGATAGGTGGCTGGTGATACTGCAACACTACACGAATATACGACACATCTGATAAAATGTGGTAAAACAGGAATGGTTTTTTTTTCTTAAAGGAAATGCAGACGACGGTAAGCAACCCTCACTTCCGGAATTCAATTGAAGCTAGAAACATAATCCACTTCGGTTGATCGTGCAGCAGCATTATATATATATAGCATATACGGGAAGATCATTGCATATCTGATCACGTGATTTAACAAAACAATCTCCTGATGGTGTAGATGCTTGTTATATCGATTGTCTTGTATGTACCATTATATTTCACAGAAATTGGTGCATTACGGCAGTGAATGTAGGTAGCCCTAATGAAGTCATGCCTTTTTATCGTTGGAAGGGATGCCACGTCATCGACATAAATAAATCAGATCAAGACTAATTTCACATGGCAGGTATACTGAAACACTATATTCAGTGAGTGACACTTCACGTCTACCTATCACTAACGAGACGGAAACGACCTGCTCGTTTACCTTCTATTTTATAAGTTTAAGATAGAGCGTGTTGTGTAGACATCAGCATTGACACGACGCCTGCCACGGTAGATGTTCCTATCACTCCATGGGATATGTACGTTCCAACCGCTTTCTACACCTTTAAAAACTTGCGTCAGCTTCATGATGCACCGTATCGCATTATACTCTCTGGAAGCATCCCCTGGGCGTTGCCTGTTGCTGGATTTTAGTCCTCGAATCACTTCCAGTCGCATTGTTAAGATGTTCAATGGGTAATTATTGCTTGGCATCGTTTATGTGTCCTCGTCTTAATTGTTGACGTAACATGCGGCTAGGTTTAAAGGATTTGACAGGATACAGTACCATGAAGGGTGCCGAATGTGGTGCAAGATTTGCTCACACCCGGAATAGGTTTTTTCGTCTCTTTTTTCTTTTTTTTTCTCTTGTAAAGTTTCATGACAAATATCCATATCAGACCTTCCTCTGCTGCTTTTGTTTCCTTTTCATGTTGGTTTCAATGAACGGTTTATTGGTTTTTACATTCTTTATGTTTCCTCGTCCTAATTGATGAAACAAACGGCATGGTTAAAAGGGTTTTACGTGATCCGCCATGAAGGAGCCAAATGCGGTGCAAGATATGCTTACACTTCCGGAACAAGTGGTTTCGCCTCATTTCGTCTCTCTTTTTCTGTAACAATCCACGTCAAGTTATATTCATAACAGATCTTATGCTTCAATTTGTCCTCGGCTACTTTTCTGTTCTTTTTATATTATTATTTGGATTCGTTTCAATAAAATATTGTCTTTATTGCTTATTAGGTTTTAAGGCCACGGCAAACTAATTTTTTATCAAAGTTTTTTCTTCAGACAACTCGCCTGTGTTGTGATGGTTGGTATTGTTGAACATTTACATACTAGATAGCACAACTACAAATTATCGTCTTTAGTACAGTAGTTCACCGTTCACTGCACGGTGTCTCCTTCATACTGAATGTTGTCCAATAATTTGATTGATTGCTCTACAGTCATGCTTTTTCTTGAGCGCTGGACAACCTTAAACGGAGATCGACAACAGAGACAAAGATGGATATGACTGAGGGAGTTAATTATACATACCTGTAACACACCATATTTAACGATTGAGTGAATTCCCTTTTCATACTCATTTGGACAAATTACTTTGTGGCGCCGTGGACAGCGTACTCGCCTTTATCAAGACATCAAAGGGTTTGAATTCCCGATCACATGCCTTACCATGTGTTTTTGTCCATGTACTCCGGTTTCCTTCCTAATCAAGTCCCCCTGGCTGCTACCAACCAAACCAACAAAATATATATGGATTCACATGCCTTGCCATGTGTTTTTGTCCATGTACTCCGGTTTCCTTCATAATTAAGTCCCCTGGCTGCTACCAACCGAACCAACATGAATGTTTAAGATAATTTATTTAATAATTAGCGTAAAAAGACAGCTTTCAATCAGAAATTGCGATTGCTTGCCTAATGTCTGCCACTTATCTGTTAGCTTCTGTTTTGCATTTTAATTTTTGAACGAGCATCCTGGATAATTTACCATAATATGTAGCTTTTGAGACGATCACTTAAAATTGGACCAAGCTGCACCACAATCAGCCCTTGCTCTCGGTTTCCACTGATATAAGTTACGCTACTAAGAGAACATTCACTAGCCTCAATATCCGAAAGCAATGCAATCCAAGTTCTTTATTATGCCAGAAGACACTGAAGAAAACCTACGATTTTGCTGGAAACCACATAAGTCGCCTCTTACGATACATTTGCAGTAGAATACAGCATGTATATCGGTGGTTCATTCATTCTTCCTCTAGCAGAACACGAGGAGGAAACACCTCTGATAGATGAACACATTAGTCGCCTCTTACAAATACAGCACAGGTTCCGTGATTAACTAATTAATTTCTTTTAAGGAAATAATATATAATCGACAAAGAAAAACAACACTAACGCAAGAAAGAGAAAATCAAGCAGGTGAAGCTGTTTTCAATATTTCTCTGTGGATTTCTATGGAAGAAATTATAGACAATTAACTTTTCCACGTACATGTGTGATCTAACCAGAAAATATGGGAAAATAATTTTGATGTCAGACATATTTATATATCTTAAAAGATATAATCTATAAGGTGGCACAGTTTCATTTGACTAATTATATGGTATGAGTGATCAGTAATGGACTCTTCAAGATGTGATACAAAAATGAGCAAGAGAAAATAAAAGAGATGATATCTTATATCATCCTAGTCCTACTAAAGAAAGATACAATATTCGACTCATGAAAACAACTGAATATTACCAAACTGGCAAAAAATCCGTAATTGGAACTAAACTATAGAAAAATGTGGGCAAAAAGAACATTTTATACGGGGAGATCATTCAAGACGTATTAGGAAAACTAGACGAGGAGTTCCAGAAGGATCAGCGACTTCTGCTTAATCGCCGTCACCAGCCAAGTAAATCTATGTCAAATTCAAGCGACTTCACGCACTCAAAGTGAGAACTGAGGTAACGAAACAATAAGACGCATAATGAGGGCAATCGAAGACATCGACCTTTATATTACACAAGCAAAAAGAACTCCCCCCAATGAGATATTTGATACTTGCCCATATTCTTCATCAGCCTGCATATCCTGCAAAAATACGTTTTTAATTTGTCCGACAACAGTTGACATCTATCACGGTAATCATGAAATAGTTGAAACAAGCTCTTGAATACAATCTCAACTGCGACATGTAAACAACTTAGGTTGGGGAAGCAGGGATTTTGCTATCAAGAAAGAGAAAGTCACTATCAAAATCTCGATATCGTCACGCTTGTCTTACAGCTTAGCCGTAAGTCGCTTTTGGTCATTTTGTAAGTAAAGAGTGAGGTAGGAAGCACATGTAGAAGAGTCTGAAGTGCCATTTGGTTTCACGTTCAGGAGGGTTAATACGATCAACATTGCCATAACATGTCTTGCTATCTAAATAATGCACATCGTCTATATATCTAAAACGAAAATGAAGGACTTGTCAAGGTTTTTGTTACCAGTCCTGAAAGCCTCTTCAACAAATCTATCTTATGTACGCAAAAACAGTAGTCAAGGCGAGGGATAGAAAAGGGTGATAAATGAGATACATTTCAATATTTTTTGAAGCAGTTGAATGATAATAGCTAATTAAAAGACACGAACATTGATTTTGCAACCGAACATAAGAGATCGTGGGTATTTTTTCCTATGGCCTCTTTTTGAAGTAAGACTATGGAATTAGCTATAGGATGTCATCATGAGGAAGAGAACAGTTTCAATTTGTGGGCGTAAGTTGCATAAAGATTAATGGACTTAATGAATCTGGCAGATTATTTTATATAAAACGAAACGCACTGTAATTAAAGTAAAGATCATTGCCTAATCTCATTAGTGCCCATTCTGTGCAGTGATGATAATTTGCCAAAATGTTTGAGGTAAGAAAACATTAATTATCTTGGGGTTGACGTTGGATCTGTTTCAAATGGCTTAGGCTGTTTCCTGTACCACATGTAATGTTATCACTGCCAAGAATGTGAACCATTTAGGCTAGAACATAAACACCCTAAAACGGAAGGAAATGCGACTGCAACATGTACTGCCTATTGTAAAAAAAAATGCTCATTACTGGTGGAGCGGTTCAAAAACTTAAACATATAAGAAAGGTCAAGCAACAAACAGTCCTTAGATTTTGAAAACGCTTGCACCGTTTATGCTCATTTAAGTAATCATGATTTTTTTTTTTTTAATAAAACATACACAAATTTTTTAAACAGATATACTGCAATTTCCATAGCATGGAATATATAAAAGGAAGACATTAAGGATACCGTCGATAAAGAAAAATAAACATTTAAATAGTACAGTCTAATTTCGTCATGCAAATGTACGGCCATCAAAGAATTTTGCTTGATGACATATTGTCTTTTGTGGTCACATTTAACATACATGTAATAGTAAGCGTTATACAAACATGTCACTTAAGATGGGAACGAGGAGACTAAATTGACGAGGCTACCTTTGCTGTGTCCTGGTGGTATACATGTTTATCCTGTTCAACATATCTTCAAAAACTCATCAATCAGTGAGAGTTATTTTATCAGTTTCCTTTTCTCCACGGAAAGAAACGACGATTGCAATTATGGTTTCAAATATTTTTCGACAAA